TAATTATTTGTTCAAATACGCTAATACTTTTATAATGTTATTACTGTAAAGTTGTATGAACTTTTAGATGAAAACTCATAAAATTAATTATTTTATTACAGTAATGTTAAAAAAAGTAGGCATAAGTGTGCTTTAAAAGTCATGTGGCGTTACATGACTTAGACTATAGAGTGATAGTAGACAATCTTCACTCACACTTTTTACATTTGTTTGATTAATTTTATTTTTTGATACTTCGGATAAGAAATTTAATTTTAAACAGATGTGTTTTGTTTTTGTTTTAAAAAAAAGGCTACTGATAACATCACTTTGGAGATGGTGTCAGTGGGTCATCGAGTTCGTACTCATAACCCCCCCCCCCCCGGTACTCCCCCAAACGGGCCAGAGCCGAAGCTCCAGACCGTGCTGAAGCGCGCCAGGAACTTCCCTCCTGGCCTGAGGGACGTTCGGCGTCCGTAGTCAACTCTCCTATGGGTCAGGACGGCTTTACTTCCTCTCCGGAGAGATGGTGTTGCGTTACCACTCCCCACCGCCCAGGGAGCTGTCCGGTCGGGACGTAGCGGGGACGAAACTGTCGCCTAGGGGCGGCTTTCTCAGGGCCGCGTCTTTTTAATCATTGACAAGGGTTTGGGCGGCCACCCATTGCCTCATACCCATCAATGGCAACAGTAATCATGTTAGCGCTTAAACTTCCGTTGGGTAGGAAGGCATGCGTTTGACTGGGGGTTTTTTTAGCTTCAGAAGGGAACCCCCCCCCCCCGCCCCTTACTAGTCCGTCACGCCACGAAGAGGTAAAATCACTTGTAACACCTCCGAGCAAGTGGTGCTGAGCATCGACCTTACAGAGCTCGGTCTTTGCCCGACGGAAAAAAGGCTGCAAAACATTTAGCTCTACCAGAATATCAATAATAAAATCATACTCACTGGTCTGCTACCTGAGCCTGAACACAGCAAGTCACCTAAATTAAATAATAATTCATATTTGATATATTTGATTTAGAGACCGACCGAAAGTGATTTTCTGATTTCGGCCGAAGCCGAAAATAGGCCGAAAGTTTAAAATGACTTTCGGCCGAAACCGAAAAAAGGCCGAAGGTTTAAAAATGACTTTCGGCCGAAACCGAAAAAAGGCCGAATATTAAAAATGAATTTCGGCCGAAACCGAAGCCGAAGCCGAAACCGAAAATGTAATATTAAGTTATTTTGAAATTCGATCTCGCATACATCTGCATACATCGAAAAT